TCCCCAGGAAGCACTGCAGGCACTTCCAATGCCTTTGCACAAGCTCAGAGGACATCTCAGAGAGATCCAGTTTCTGTTGGCCAGCAACTGAATCCCACCACTGCAGTGAGGCCAGCGATGACCCAAGTGCATCCTGCTGACACAGAGCAGTTTATGAATAGGAAGCCCACCCCACTGGGTTCTCCAATCATTTGGCTACCCCCAAACTGTGTTGGTTCTTCTTTCAGGAGTCCTTTGCTCAGCCCCGTGATGATACAATCAAGGAAGGGCTTAGTGGTTTTCACAGTGTTCCTGGATGACAGCACATCCAAAGCCAAGGACATTTTCAGCAGTACCTTTTCCTCCTGGAGATCAGCTTCACCTCCATCACAGGTGCTCAGGGGTAGCAGAGACACTCCAGGCAGCAAAGCCTACTCCTGCCATGGTGCTCAGCCCAGCTCTGCTTTTCTCTGGCCTTGGTCTTTGCTGTCTTTGTGGATACCTCATTTCTTCTTCATTTGCCATCTGCCATCCCCTCCAGCATGTCTCTGCTCTCAAGAACAGCATTTGCACACATGGGGTCTTGGGCACTTGGTACCAGGTTTGCCTGTGACGAGTCTGACTTGGGCCCGGTGCCACAGCTGAGGTGCTGCAGCCCAAACAGGCACCAATGACCTCAGCCCGGGGCACAGACAGGATGAAATGGGCTCACATGTGCCATCATGGAGCAACTTTCCTATGAGGGAGCTGGGCTTGTTCAGCCTGAATAAAAGACTTAGAGGGGATTTCATCAACATGTACAAATATCTTAAGGGTGGACATCATGAGGACAGAGCCAGAATCTTCTCAGTGGTGCCCAGCGACAGGACAAGGGGCCATGGGCACAAACTGAAACATAAGAGGTTTCAGTTGAATAAGCAGAAGAACTTCTTGACTTTGAGGGTGACAGAGCACTGGAACAGGCTGCTCAGGGGGGCTGTGGAGTCTCCTTCTTTGAAGATATTCAAAACCCACCTGGATGATATTCCGTGCAACCTGCTCTAGGTGAACCTGCTTTAGCAGTGGGGTTGGACTAGATGATCTCCCAAGGTCCCTTCCAACCCCTGCTATTCTGTGATTCTGTGATCACAGAGTTTTGACATTGATGGAAGAAGTGTCAAGGTGTGGTGGGACAGTTCACACTGCTGGTGGTGCTGCAGTGGTGCATGCAGGATGTTCAGGAGAGTCAGGATGGAATGATCAGGACGGGGGTGCCCTCCATGTGCAGGAGCTTCTTTTATGGATGGAGCTCATCAAAGCAGTGTGCAACAGGTTGGGTGAGACCTTATGGGCAAGGGTCAGAGGAGAGGCCTGTTAGTGTGGCATCGTGGGGGGCGACAAAGAACCTGCAGTCAGGCTTAGGCAGGGGAGAAAGGCTTATTTAAGCAACCCCGGGAAGTCTCCACACCCATGTTCCCAGCTCTTACTGGAGACTTTAATGACCCTCATCCCCTTTAATGACTTGGATCCCATTTCTGCTGAGAGTGTGACAGCGAGGCCACTCTCCATCAGCTTTGAAAAGTCATGGAGACTGAGGGAAACCCTTGATGACTTGTGGCACCCAAACGCTGCATGCACCTTTCCAAAATACCCAAAGTATGTGCAGAGCAGAGAAAGGCTGGGGCCCAGAGTGTGTCCACTTGGATCCTGTTTCTAGGTGTCTGAAAGAGAAGGGGGCTGGGTTTACCCTCAGGAGATTTTGCCTATCGATCCTCTTTTCTTGCTTTGACGAAAGGACAGGATTCCTGGGTGGGGGGAGAGCAGTGGTGGTCTTGTCCTTGAGCATCAGTGAGGCTTTTGGCATCATCCCCCACAACATTCTTGTGTCCAGCTTTGGCTATTATAGTCTGCATGGGTGGATAAGTAGATGGGTAAAATAGTGACTTCACGGTGGGGCTTGGAGGGATGTGGTTAATGTGTGGTCCTCTGCCCGGAGGCATCCAGACATTAGGGTCCTGCAGGGCTCCATCCTGCAACCTGCCCCGTTTTACATGGTTTGAATGACCTGGAGGAGTTGAGAAGGTGGATTTGATAACATTTGCAGAAGACACCACACTGAGGAGAGGAGACACTAGAGTGGAGGGCAGGGCTGCCATCCCAAGTTACCTCAACAGGCTGGAAGTATGGGGCAATAGGAATGTCATGATACCCAATGAGGACCAATCCAAAGTCTTGCTGTTACAGCAGATTAAGGCCATGCAATACCATAGACCAAGGATTGTGTGGGTGGGTGGCAACTCATGTGGAAAATGCTCTGGTGGTCTTTGAGTTACCTTAGGCAAAACATGAGATGTGAGCAGAGGCAGTCATCAGCATCCTGGGCTGTCTGAGCAGGAGCACAGCCATGGGAAGTGATTATCTCCCTCTGCTCAGCACTTGTTACACCACATCCAGAATCCTTGCCCAGGTTTTGGTGTCGTGCAATGCCAGAGAGACATTGGCAAGCTGGAGGGCAACAAAAATTCAGTGGAGGGCCACAGAAGCAGGTCAGGGCTGGAGCACCTGCTTTGTTAGGAGCAGCTGAGGAATCTGGGCTTGTTCACCCTGCAGAATGGAGGGATTTGTTGGGGAGGATGTAACAGACTCCTACTGCCTATGGTGAGGTTTCCAAGAAGACACAGTGGTGCAAGGCAGGAGCACAGGAGGCAATGAACTGAAACACGAGAGGGTCACGCTCAATATAGGGAGAAACTTTTGCAATGTGAGGACAGTCAGACATGGGAAAGTTTCCTGAAGAGTGTGCACTGTCTCCACCCCTGGAAGTTTCTCAGACCCATCTGGATCAGACCATGAGGAACCTGGTGTGACTTTGCTTAGAGTGGGATTTCTACAGCTATGTAGGAAGGTCCCTTCCAGACCGAATGACACTCCCATTCCTCACCCTTCATGTCCTCAACATCAGGGAAAGCAGTCGGGTTCCCTCTGACTGTGGCAAGAATTCACATCACATACAGGGCTGAATCACAGGTACCACAAACAGTCCCCATGACATCCTTGTCCTCACTTTTAATTTACTCATTCCCTCTCCCCCCTCTCAAGTTCTTCACTGTTATCCTCCTCACACCTGCTAGGAAGCTTAGTCCACCCTGGCTGGCTGGGGTGCAGCTCATGGTCTTCACAGCTGCCCATATGGTTCCACGTTTTCGATTTGTGACCAAAACTATTTTAGCTATTGCTGAACATGAAGCAACATGAAGCCCATAGCATCCCATATGGTTCCATGTCCTGGATTTGTGAGCAAAACAATGTTGATAACACTGCCATGTTTTAGCTCTTGCTGAGCAGGGCTTGCGCAGTGCCAAGGGTTTTTTCTGTTCCTCATGCTTCCCTGCCAGTGAGTAGGCTGGGGGTGGGCAAGAAGTTTGGAGGGGAGGCAGCCAGGACAGCTAACCACAGCTGAACAAAGAGATATCCCATAAGGTATGATGTCATGCTCAGCAATAAAAGCTGGAGGAAGAAGGAGGAAGAGGGGGACAGGAGGGGTGCATAGCCTTATCCTTCCCAAGAAACCATTACTCATGATGGAGCCCTGCTTTCCTGGTCATAACTGGACTGCCAGCCAATGGGAAGCAGTGAAGGAATTCCTTGTTTTCCTTTCCTTTCAGCTACAGCTTTTGCTTTAGCTATTCAAGTCTCCTCATCTTGACCCGTGATTTTTTCTCGCTTTGCCTTTCTTATTCTCTCTCCGCTCCTCAGGAGAGGGGCGTGAGTGAGTGGGGGGGCTGGGTGGGGACTTACCAGCCACATTATGGACTTATTTATCTTTTCACTAAAACCAGTAACATGCTCTAAAATTTCTTCCCCTTCTTGATGATGACAAAAGTAATTTCTTTAATTTTGTCATTGTCATTCTGTCTTACCTGACAAGACAGTTCTAGCATAACAGCATTTAGATATTGGCATGACTTTTTTACAACAGTGCTTTTTCTCTCACTGCTAACTCTTTTATCATTTCATGGTAAATGCCTCTCAGACAATATTGCCCCTAATTCATTTCTGCTCTTTACCTTTCATCCTTATTTCAAGTGTGTGGATGAGTTTGGGGAGGTTGGTTTTTACCCAAAAATGGGAAGGGACAGTTCCACACCTGGGGTAAAGCACAAAGCAGGACACATTTTTGTGTGATGGATGCTAATATAACATCATTATCTTCATTTTGGATCTCTGAATATCTAAGCCTTCAGCAGAGTGACTGTATGCTCTGAAGTCCCTCCATCTGCCCCATATGTCAGCACTGAAGGTGAAATTACTGCAGTCAGAGGTGGTGTTTCATTGTCCTCACAGTCTAAACCACCACATGGGTCAGGAGATATTCCAGGACCCTCAACGGGTGTGATACTCCTCAGGAGCAACAAGTAGAATCTCAGGGGTCCTGACGTACCAATACTTGTATTCAGGGATCTGGTCAAAACACCCATCTCCATCTCTGTAATGGTGGTTGAATTTTGCTCCAGTAACCTTTGAGTTGATCCCAATTCACTGCTGATTGTCTTCCTCCACAGGAGGAGAACACAGGGGGCATGACCCGTACTCATCCTCCCTGCCAGTCTCTCTTATCTCCTCTGGGACATTAAAAACACATTATAGGGTGCAAGTTGCAGGATATGGAGTGTACTTCAGGATATGGCAACCCCGCCAGCTACAGGCTTCCAGGCAGATACCGCCCATTGACCATGTCCCTTCAAGTCCCACTATTCATCTGGTTATTTACCCATCTGCTTATCTACTCGTGCAGACCATAATGTCCTCACATGGGCACAGGAATATTGCAGGGGGGTGATGTATAAAACTTCACTGACTTCCAGGTTAAAAGAAAACTGCTGGACTGCCTGTGTCCAGCAATGCTGTCCTTTCATCACAGAGAGCAAAGAGGATGGCGAGAGACAAGTGACCGTGGGTAAATCCAGTCCCCTTCTCTTTCAGACACCCAGAAATGGGATCAGAGGGAACACGCTCTGGGGCACAGCCTTTCTCTCATCTGCACAGCCTTTGGGCATTTCTGAAAGGTGCATGCAACCCACTGGTGCATTTCCCCCATTGCCTGGGAGTCCCCACAGTCTTGATGACCTTTCAGAGGTGGTGGAGAGTGGCCTCACTGTGACATTGGCCTGCTCACTCAGCTCCCTGGGGTGCTGCCCCTCCTCCCCCACAGACTGGTAAGGATTGTGTTAGCTCAAGGGATCCCTGACTTGATCCCCATCCACCCCTGGTTGATCTCCTCCACAGTCCTGCCCTGAGTCACAGAGGCCTGGGAGATGTTGCTACAGAGACTGAGGCAAAGAGGACACAGAGAAGCTCAGGTCTATCTACACTGTCTCTAACTGAATTCAGCAGTGCCCACGCAGTATCTGTGTTTCTCCCTTAACTGCTCCTGCAGCAGCACACACTCATTGTGGTGCCCTTCAGTTGCCTTTCAAGGTCAGACTGAGTTTTGATCTGGACCCTTGCTGAGCTTGGAGGCTGCTGTCCTTGAAGACCAGTGGTACTGAGCTCTGCAACCATGTGACAGCTTTGTCTCCTCAGGAATGGCTCTAGCTCTTCCCATCTGTGCCTCTGGCTGAGGACATTGCTGCATGTTTGGGCTGAAGCCCTGCATCTGTGGAAGCAGGCCAGCTGTGACTTGCCATAAGGAACCTGGTACCAAACATCCATGATGCTGTGTGTGCAAAGGCTTTGCTTCAGAGCAGAGATGTGGCGTGGACAAAGAGAGCTGAATGTCTTTCTAGGCCTAGGACTACTAAACCAGGATGAAATGCCTATTTCATTCAACTGATGATATCCCCCAACCTTGGATTAGAACTTTCATTGTCACATTTGTGGGTCTCTTGTACAATGATGGGACACAAAAAAAAAAAAAAAGAAAAAATATTCTCATGCCAGTCCTGACAGCAAAAGTAAGTGTCTCTCCCAGCTGAGGGAGAGAACATCAGGGATGACTTCAGCCTGTGTCACAGCAGGTTCTCCTGCAGCCCCAGGGACACCTGGAGGGAGCCCAGAGGGGACAGAGCAAGTGCTGCCTTGGGCTGGTCCTCTGCTGCTGAGCTGGGCTGGGCTCCTGGGATGGAGGGGCAAGTGGGCGGCCCTGCCGAGAGACAGCTCTGCCCAGGAGCAGCTCCTCTGCAAAGCGCAGCAGGGCTGAGGGCACTGCCTGCAGGCACTGAGGGGAGAGGAGCAAGTCAGGGGTGGGAGGATGCTGAGAGCTCATGGAGAGAAATTTTTACAGAGAGTAAGTCTGTGGCTTCAGGGCATTCCATCTGTAGATCTTGGTGGGATCTCCTACAGCTGGGATATTGCCCAGCCTATGTGATAGGTAAGTACAACCCTCAGACCATCTCTGGTGTAGAGGAGGAGGACGTGCTGCAGAGCAGGGACATCCTGCTGCACCATCATAGGGACAGGGCATGACGGCTGCCTTCTCCCAGGGAGGGCTGCAGGGTGTGAAGGTGGGTGTGCAGGCAGGGGTGCCCAGGGCTG